GTGCACATCTTTCAGCCTGGAGAACCAGCCTGGAGGTGGCAGCCTGTAGGACCTGGGCCCAGCCAGGACTTTAGCCTGCATTAGCCAGCCCGGGCTGCTGTGACAGATGCCACACGTGGTGTGACTTGGGCCCTAGAAGTTATTTCTCAGTTCCAGAGGATGAGAATTCAAAGTTCAAGGTGCTGCTCTCCAGGTCCTGGTGAGGGCTCTTTTCTTGGCTTTAAAGCATCTGTCTTGTCAAAAGTGCTTACATGGCCTTTCTGCCATGTGGAAAGAGACAGAGAAAAGGGGAAGAGAAGGATGGAGGGAAAGAAAAAAGAAAGGAGAGAAGAAAAGAGAGACAGAGGGGGGATGGGAAAAGGGAGAGAGAAAGAGGAGGAGAAGAGAAGAGAAGAGAGGAGAGGGGAGGGGAAGGGAGGAGAGGGGAGGGGCGGGAAGGGGAGGGGAGGGGAGAGCTTATAAATAAGGCCACCACTCCTATAGGGCCCCACCTTTTTGCCCTTACTTTATGCCTCAAAATTCATTTTTGTTAGCAGTCAGATTTTGAATATATGAATTGAAGAGGAGGCAAAGTTTAGTCCGGAGAAATCCTGGCTTTTGTCCAGCACGTCTATTTCATTTTAGACACAATGTTGCATTTCCCAGGAAACTCACACTCTAACCTTTCTTACTCCTTGCCTACTTCACTCATTCATGTCCCCTAGCCAGTTCCTAGCTATTTAAATGTTCAATCCAAGCCGATTGGTTTAACTTAAACTAGGACACATTTTAATATAGTATAATATATTATAGGACACAATATAATATAGTATAATAGGGTGAATTGTCAGAAATTGGGGTTGTCTTGGAGAATCACGGATTTATGAAAGTAATGATGGTAAGGATTCTAATTCTCATTTATATTACAGTAGTTGAAAAGACCTTTAATTTAGCTTGTAACTTAACGCTACTCAGGCCATCACAAATTTTCTTTGTTAAACTAGATTTTCTCTTTGTTAAACTAGCAAGGAACTCAGTGGTGTTGGACTACATCAGACACAAAGGGAAAAGCAGACACATCCTGCTGGGCATGGTGGCATAGGTCTGTAATACCAGGAGGCTGAGGCTGGGGGATCACTGCAAATTTGAGGCCAGCTTGAGCTACCTCATGAGTTCAAGGCCAGCCTAGACTGCATAACAAGACCCTGTTTCAAACAAAGCATGGCAAAAACAAAAGCAAAAGTAGCCACAGCCCTCTATAGTAGATTTTTCACATTTCCTTTGGTCATGATCCACAATGAGAAATTTTACTTTAAAATTCTGTACACTGTGATGCACTCTGAACCATCCAGTCCCATCCTGGCCAGTCCTGTCCTGTCCTGTCCCATGCCCATTCCATTCCATTCTATTAATAATATAATGCTGATTAGGATCCATGCAGTTGATTTCCCAAACACAAATTGATTATGACCTTTAGTTTGAAAAACATAGTTCTAGTGAGTCAGGTTCAATAGCTTTGAGTTATCTTTCTGTGAAGAAATAGTTTGGTTCATACGAAGGAGTTTTCTCCTGTTAGTTGGTTTGTTGTTTTGTTTCTAAAAACATAAGTGTGTTTTAGAAAAACATACTACCCTGGTATCTAGAGATGATAATTCCGTCCTCTCGGCACTGATCTGAGACTTTCCTGGTGGGATGCCAAGAACTGTGGTAGACTGAGGGGCATGGTTGGGACTGTCACTCTGGGTCATTCTGTGTCACTCTGTCACTCCTTCCCTGGGTGCTGGTGCTAAACCTCTCCATGCTTGGGCAGAGCAAACCTGCATAATTGCTCCCTGTTTTCTGACACTTGTGAATACTGCTGGTCTCCAGCTCAGTGTACCATGTGCTTGCTATGATCTTGTTCTCGCTTGCAAAGTACACTTTTTGTTTGTTTGTTTTGTTTTGTTTTGTTTTGTTGTCTTTTTCCTTCTTATCAGTACCAGGGACCGAACTCACGACTGTCTGCTTGCAGGCAGGAGCTTATGCCGCTGAGCTAAATTTGTTTTGTTTTGTTTTTGCTTCCCTGCTCTTTGTTTTCAGGTCACAGCACCACAGCTGATTTGGTGATTGTGGTTTGAGGTCACCAAGAGGCATATTCTAGAGAAGGAAGGGGAGGACAGCAACCCAAGATTTCGTTGCACACCTTAGTGTTGACCGAGGCCCAGGGAGCTGCAAAGCTGCAGAACCAGGTCCAACTTCCAGGGTCCCCTAGGCCCCCTAGGAAAACCTGGGTGAAACCACTGCCAGGTGAAGACGCGTCATGTGCTGCCATCTATGGGTAACACTGTGGCACTGCAGGATTTGCGTTCTAGCACTGTACTGTCAGCTGGTCCAAAGGAAGAAGAAGAGTTTTGAGAAAATTAAAGATAATTCCTTCTGTTCCCCACATTTCTGTTTCTCAAGAAGCCTGGATCAAGTTAAGGGCTCGGTGGAAGGGAGTGACCCCTCTTTCACCCCAGGACGCCATCTGCAAAGGAGACCAGAGGGGAGGGGAATTCCCACCCAGTCTCACTGCTGCCCAAGTGACACACTTCCCCTTTAGGACGGGCGAGGGAGGACGCTGCTGTCAGGGGTTTCAAAGAACGCACTGTTCTCTCTTAGATCTCTCCAGTTGCTTCACGAGTCTTCTGAGATTACCATAGGTTATGTACGAAGATCAGCTTTCCAAAAACAAAATAGCTCCTCTGCAGCTCAGAGTATTGGCAATTGTTGATTCCCAATGCTCTACCACCTGGGTTGTCAGTAGAGGAAATGGGATAGCAAGGACCAACCACTTCCATTTTTAAAGGGACCTGGAGCTGGAGATGCAGCCCAGTGTAGAGTGCCCGCCTAGTGTGCCAGAAGCCCTGGGTTCCATCTCTAGGACCAAAGTAAATAAGTACACGGATGTCTGCATGGAGTCCAACAAGACTATCTAAAATGCTTCTACTGAAAAAAACGATCATTTTTTTGGACTAAGGCAATGCAATTTAGGCTGAGCATCATTATAATGGTAAGATTTATTGAAAATATTAAAATACAATACCACACTGATGAAATGAACAGCCATGGTTCTTCGATTCATGTATAAACATACATTTATAAACAGACACTCATATGTATATGTACTGGGGGTCAAATTCATGACCTGGGGATTGCCAGGCAGGCACTTACTCCACTGGGCTAGAGCCTAGATCCCAGACCCCCGTCTATGTGTATTTCTTAAGCAAGTAACATTCCATATCACCAGATTATAAACTCACAGAGACATCCTGCCCTGACACATAATCATGTTTGCTCATTTAAACAAGAGTGGGATTTACAGCCGGATGGACTGCAAATTCCCCTTAGTTCAAAGGCCTGTCTCATTTATTTTCACAGAAAAACTCCCCCACCCCACCAGGCTGACTGATGCCTGCGTCATGAAGCAGTTGACCCTCAGTATCCTCAGGGACTTGGGCTCAGGAGAACCCCATGGATACCAACCCCATGGATATTCAAGGCTGTTAGACAAAATGATGGAGTATTTGCATATTACAGTACCTAGGCACGTCCCCCTGCACACATATAAACATCATGCCCAGTTATTATATTGTTCAGGGAGTAAGCACAAGAAAATTGCATATACTCAAAACTGATTGAATCCATGACCACAGAACCACGGCCATGAGGTCTCAGCAGTCCCGGGAAGGAGAAGGAAGAGGAGCCGAAGTTGTGTGCATGCGTGGGTGAGGTGGAGGCATGTAAGGCTTTCAGTGGAGCAGTAATGAGGAAGAAAGGAAATCCTCCCTGTTGTACACCACACGCCTCGCATCTGCCTCCAGGGCAAGAGCAGGTCTGCTTGGCTTCCCCGTCATTTACTTCCTAGGGTTGTTTTGGAGTGTCAGAAACACAGAAGGTGCATTGATTTCCGTGAAGACTGCTCCTCTACCTCAAAGTTGTCTTTCTTCCTCCCAAGTTCCCGGTAACATAGGTCTTCGCTGTCCACTCCGCTGACCCTTGTGCTAGTTCTTTTTTTTTTTTTTTTTTTTTTGTATCGAGGATTGAACTCACAACCTCACACTTGCTAGGCAGGCACTGTGCATCTGAGCTGTATCCCTGGAGGACCTTGTATTGGGTAATTCTTCATCTGGCTGCTCTGTGAATTATAGGATGGCTGTGTTTTGTAGGAAACACAGTAATTGGGACACAGCAGTGACAAAGGTTCCCAAGCCCTCATTGAATGGATGGGGGGCAGCACCCCCTCCCTAGAGCAGACCTCCCTCCTGAAAGGCACTTTGCCTGCTGTGAGAAGTCCAGGTCCTCACCTCCCACCCTCTCCCCCACCCTTCTCTTGGGTAACCCTGCATTTCTCTGCAAAGCTTTGTGGATTGATTAGAAGGGCGCTCCTGGCTTCTCTCTCTAACCACTTCAAGATGCAGCTCTTGGAGCTGCACTATAAACACCACCGGCTCCTCCCGAATCCTCAGTTTTTTATCAAGAGACGGAAGTGCCGCTCTTTGACCGACTGTCTGAACTTTTCCCTATTGCATGATTGTGTCTTTATCGTCAGTATTTTCCTTATTAATTTAAGAAATACTTTCTTGTTGATGATAATACTGATGACGGAAAACTGAAAAAAAAGTTGTTAGATGCCAAAATAATATTTGGCAGAAAATCTTGGGAAACTCCCTGGCGAGTGGGAAAATTACTGGGTTTTGTACCATATGACAAACCTTCGCTAACCCTAAGAGGAGGGTTGTTAGCTGGGTTGCAAACGGGGAAAGTAGCAAAAACAAGGTTTGTTATGAAACAGAATCTGAAATGTGTGGTTATGTGGAGACAGAATCAGAGCACGGTGTTCTGCTGTACAAGGGGTGACCAAAAATTACGATGTTTTCACACTTAAAGAACAGTTATTACATGAAAAGACACATCCCCACCATCCCCCCAAAGTACTCCCACCTCACTCCAAACATACTGATCCCATCACTCGTGACACTTTCTTTTTCTTTTTGAAACAGGGTTTGGCTCTTCAGTTCAGGCTGGACTTCAACTCACTTTGTAGCCCAGGTGGCCCCATGAATTCACAACCATCCCCTGCCTCAGCCTCCCAAGTGCTGGGACAGCAGGCATGCACCACCATGCCCAGCTTCTCGCCACTTTCTACAGCGGTTCTGGAAGTCCTCTTTCACATCCTTATGAGATGTGATCAAAAATACGGTGAATGCAGATATTGTGTATCGTCCAGTAGAAAAGCAGATTCGTAAAACATTACCGTGTGTCCTCCACACCCTGTGCACTGGACCTGGCACCGTGTGACTTCTGGCTCTTCCCACACTCAAAACCACCATGAAAGAGAAATATTGGAAATCTTTTTGAGACATCAAGATAACCAAGACAGCAGCACAACTAAAGATACAAAAAATGTCCAGGACCGCTTCAGAAAGTAGCACCATTTTTGGAATGAGTGTTCAAGGAAAGTATTTCTGAGGAGATTAAAGGCAACATGCATTTTACTGTTCAAGAGGGTTTTTTCAGTATGTTTTCACTGTATTCTTTGATCATACTTTGAGAATTAGAGAAATCAAAATTCAAAGAAGTTTCTTCTCAAAAAATCAACCTATGTAATTCTCTTATTTAGGTAATAACAAGGCAGAGGGCAGACAGATTTATTGTTTTTTCAGACATATATAGCATCAGAATGAATTTAACCCAGATCCTCTGTTCTGATTTGTGACCAAGGATCATCAACCTGTTGTAAAATGAAAAATAGGACAATTTAGAATACTTTCTAAATGTGAATCAGTTCAACTTAAAGAATCATCCTTTATCTCAAGGTTTGTGCCTTTTAAGGCCTTCTACTTTTTTTTTTTTTTTTTTTTTTTTGCAATTAAAATCTTGCCTCTGTTAGGCAATAATGACCCCAGATGTATTTGGAGTTTTGGGGGTTTTCTTAATGCCCTGATTTTGGCAATCCTAAAGCAATTCATCACCACTGTCCCTTTTTTTTCAAATAAACAAACGTCTGAGAACAGCAAAATAGAACACCTGTTTCCAAATAGAGCAAGGCAGGAGTCACAGGCAGGCCTGCTGGGAGAAAGAGATGGAGGGAGCCACTCCAGGTTACCTTCATAAACAAGCAGCCAAAGCCCGGCCAGGCTCCTCCAGAATCCCCCTCCTCCTGCTCTTCACTCCTTCATCTCCCAGTGAATCAGAACCTTCTGGAGTCCTTGGGCCTGACTCTTACACGTGGCCTCCCTGGGTCACCACGCACGTGGCCAGCATGGGTGGGAAGGAGACTCTTGCTGGCTGGGCCCTACCTTAGAATGCAAAGGGCTTGGGTATTATTTCTGCACTAATCTTAAGCTCTTTGCTTCAGGAAAGAATGTGAAGATCCAAGGGAAGACTTTTAGAACACAAAAGGAGCTAAACTCAATGTTTCTCTGCTCTGTTATTAACCCCTCGCTCGCTCCTGCTCGTAGGGAAGGGGAGGCCCAGTGACTAGAAAGGTTTCGTCAGGCCCCAGTGAGTCTCTACCGCAATGTCCTGGAAGACCAGTTGGACCAGACCATTCAGATTCCGGCTTATACTTAACAGAGGCCTCTGAAGCTCTCAAAGGATTAATGTGAAGGTGTACCCCGGGCTCTCCATCCTGGGGGCTCCTCAGCTGCCAGCTCACCCGTTACAGCAAGGAGGATGTGATGGGTTTTGAAAGAGGAAGGAGGCAGTGAGAAGTTCAGAGATCTGAAAACGTTTTCAAGGGAAAAGGAAACCAAAACAGGAAAGAAATATGTGGTCAACACTTATCGGTATATCCTCCTTTTGGGTTGAATTTCTTTTCATCCATTGCTCAGCCTAGCGATTATGTAAGCGACAGAGTCAGAGGACACTATGAGGGCAAAGGACACATTTCTGGGTCCTTAGCCTGTTGCTATGAAAAAGCATGATCCGCATCTTCTTCTAGGGCAATCAGAAACTGAAAAGTGGTTTTTTTTGGGCTAAAACCTATGACTCTGCGCTTGGGTGTCCAAATGCCTATCTCATCTAATCAAGATCAGAACAAATGGGGGCTGGGGATTTAGCTCAGCGGCATAAGCGCCTACCTTGCAAGCAGGCAGTCATGAGTTGGATCCCCGGGACCGATAAAAAGGAAAAAGACAAAAAAAAATCAGAACAAATTTGCCTTCTTCTTTGTAGGCTTTATTATCTTAGAACATTTGATTAGACATTATGTAATTTTCAGGAATCAGCTGGACATTCATTCAATTGCCAGACTTCACATCTGGCTCCAGATCCTAGCCCCTCAGAGTGATACCTAGAGGTTTCCAGCATTGTCTCCAATCTTTAGTCACCTGGGACTCAGGAAAAGCAGACTGAAAGCCTCGAAGACAGAGGTAACCATGGAGGCTCCCCAGACCCCAGCCTACCTCCATACTAGATCCCTTGCTTCTGCAGCGGGTCAGTCTGAACCCCTATGTCAGAATATGGAGTGCTTCCCTGGCTTCATTTTTACTGTTCAAACAAATCAAATTCACCATGGTTTAATTTTAATTTTCATTAGCACTAAAAGTAAAGCCCCACACTAACCAGTGACAGGGACCAGACGGTTTTCACTGGGGAGGACTGCTCTGGTAAGGTCGCATCTGGCCGAGGACCAGGCTGCCTCTGCCTCTGGACTATGGTTTGGACAATTTCAGGAGTGCTGGCTGCAGAGAGGAGGGAGGGGCCCGACAGGGACCAGGATGCTGTGTGATATATCAATTACGAGGCCCTTGGGTGCTTTCTGGTTCCATCTGCACAATGCCACATGGGCTTGTTTGACAGAGCAGGAAGCAGCTGCTCGGAGCAGTCAGGGTGCTTGCCCCAGGTCACGGGATTAAAGAGGACAGAACCAGCTCTGTGTAATCCAGGGTCAGTCTGGCACTTGAAGCAGCTCCTTCTGTCTCCTTAGTGATCTTTTCTCAAAATCAGGCTTCAAGCTACCTGGCTAACACCTGGGGGCATGAGGATGAGGGGGATTGTAGTTTTTGAGCCATATTGTGACATCTAGAGAATCTAAGGGACAAAGAGAAATAATCCACTATGGACACAGAAGGTGGCCTTGACCTGTCCGTACGAGGCTTCCTATCTCCCTCTGTGTCTAAAGTTCTGAACCAAAAATCTATATAGGACACCAGAGGCCACTCTGGCACAGAAAGAAAGAGCAAATTTCATTCATTAAAAGCAAATAAACAAAACCCCAAAAACTTGGATTCCAGATTGTAACTGTCTGTCCCAGCCAATGAGCAGGTGAATGCCGTGAGTTTTACTTTTCTGACAATTTCTAGAGTTGAGAAACATTGCTGTTGTACTCATGACATCTTGGGTATGGAACAATTATTCATTCTTTCATTTCAGGTAATATTAACCAGTGTCAAGTAGTTCATGTTTAGATATATAAAGAGAAATATGCCTCAGAAAATAAAAACACAATCTGATATTTAAGCGTAAGGAAGCAGAAGTGTTAGGGTTGCAACACGTGGCCTTTGCACAGCCCAGGAAATCCTCTGGCTTCTGCTTCAGGGATCTGAAGACTGTTTACATTCCAGTGGAATTCCTGGGAAAGTCCAGAGCACGACACACTATGAAAACAATGGCTTATGGACATAAATTTCCACTGTGTAATCTGAGACAGGGAGGCAAGGCCAGGAGGGTCCCTGGATGGGACTGGGCTGGACCAGCATTCTGTGGGATCCTTCACCTGTTTGCTGCACCTAAAACTGTTTGGAGGGTATGTGGACTCCTTCTGGAGAAGCCAAGCTTAGCCAATCACTGCTGCACCTCTCACTTCCAGGAGCAGCTATTGCTAAAAATTTCTGTAAGTTTTCAGAGTGGCAGCCACACCCAGAGTGGGTTAGGCACTTGTAAGATGTGGGAACCTCCTTGGTTTACTAGGGAGTCTGGAGACAGAGCCAGCCACAGCTAGCCGCAGGCAACACTAAATCCTTCCTTTTGCAGAACAGGAAATAGAGGCCCCAGAAATTCAATGCATTAAAGTTCCACAGTGGCAGAGCCAAGGCAGAAAGCCAAGTTTCATTTACCTACTCAACACATATTAATCAAGCTCTATCCTGGGTTCCGCTGTCAACTTACACTAACAACGGAGAAGACAGCTTTCAGCAGACTTGAGTTTGAGAATAAGAGACATGGGGTTGCTGTCTATGATGCACAGGTGAGAACAAGTCACAAGGACATCTACCGAGATCCAGGTGAGGGGAAGTTTTCTAAAGAGAAAACCAAGCCCAAATAAGTTACTCTGAAACAAGGCTCAGAATGAGGCTTTATCTGACTGTTTTAGCCTTGAAAAATTTCTTGTGATAAGCCTTGTTACAGAAATTCATGCAGGCATGCAGAGTGAGCCAGGTATGCCTGGGAAATAAGATATCAGCGGCATGCAAGATGGGAAGGGTTTAAAACACTCCCAGGAGAGTTCTTATTCAAACACACAAGCATGAGTACCCCACGCTCCTCTTCCATGACTTCCTGACTGCTTTTTCTATGTTTGACAAGAGTGACTTCATCTTGGTGTTGGCAACTGTCACGTTCACCTTTCAGGAGGGAAAAAGTAAGGAGTCAAAGAGTGAAAGAGAGATGGATTTGGGAGTAATCTCACCCTCCGATTGTGTTATCAACCTCCTGAGAAGGAAAAGCCATATTCTTATTTCTATCTAGAAGAACACGGAAATATCATTGCTCTGGCCAAGAGTGGCCTTGAGGAGGTGAGCATGTCACCCAGTCTTAGGCAAGCAAACCTGAAGGAAGCTTGTTACAAGGCTTGGAAGTGTCACTGGGAGCCCAGAGTGTTGTCAATAGGGACGTGCTGCCTGGAGTGACGGGAGCCTGAGGCTGAGGTCACCAGAGAAGCCAGTGGGGAAAATCACCTGGGGCCTTGACATCATGGAGCCACTGAGACACCAAACTTGGAGGCCCTGCAACAACCCTTATTGATATGTGAGCTGATAAAATTAACTTCCTGATTCAGCCAGCTGAGTTGGGTTTTGTAATCCTTGGCAACTGAAAGCACCTTTCAAAGACATTTGAAGTTTTTGTGGCGGGTCATTACCAGGGTTTCCTTCTGATGGCTCTTGTTTTCTCTTAGGAAGGGAGGGGCAGGAGAGATGTGAGGAAAATGGCAAATTGGAAATGAGCTCTTTAGGAAAATTCAGGAGTGTTGATGATGTCAGAGACCAAGAGACCACAGCAGGACCAATCTGCTCACCTGGTGGCTCTTCACCAGCTGTCCTTAGCAGCCCAAGAACAGCAGTGAGAATGTGGGTCATGGCATTACTTAACATATAGGGGTTTTCCAGATGGGTGCTTTTCTCAGGCTGCTACATTATATTTTCTTCAGGATGTCAGTGCAGCTCAATATTAATGTGTCTACCATGCACAAGGTAGTCAAAGGCTCCTGTGAAACTAAAACATAATATTCTGGTCTCTAGATTGGCCCAGATAAACTCACAGGTACTGGGGAGTGGGGGAGAGGATGGTAATGTGGATTCACTGAACGAAATGATCATTAATTGTGAGATTGCAATGGCCACTGTGTCTTTAAAGATTTGGCAGGAACAAGATGGAAACAAAATTCACAAAAGTACAATAAATCTTGGTGGCCTATTTTTAACATTTGGGTTAAAAATAATGCTCTAGATTGGTTTAAACAACAACAACAAAGAACTGATGACATGTATCAGCTTATCACTGCCTTTACTCTTCCTTACAGAATGCTCACCCAGCAAGTAACTATTTTAGCAGCAACTTGCTTTATGGTCATGGAGTGGGGCAATCAGAAGGAAGTGCCCTCTTTTTTTTGGACGGAGGTACAACAGTGTGGTAAGCAGTCAGGACTCTTTCAATGAATCCCTGGGAGAAGTCCCTTCAGCAGGAAGCCCGGGCAGTGTGTTTCAGGCCACTGCAGCTTCCTGCCTTCAAGCCTATGAGGAGGGCAAAGAGTTTAGGTGGAGAGGACAGCAGAGGGCCAGGACCACTTTGAGGAGCTTGAATTCAGTAACCCTGTAGAGAGGGGAGCTCCCAGGACCCAGGGAAGGTAAGTCATGCCATCAGCTGTGTGTCTTAGAAACCAACTGTGATCTTGCAGAAGCTGCCCTGGAGAGGAGAGGCCGGAAAAGGAATGTAAAGAGAGTTAGCCAGTAGGTGAGACAGACACTGTGGGGACAAACCCTTTCCTTCACATGCTTTTTAAAGTGTCTTTTTAAAATTTTTAACTTTTATTTTAAAGATAATAAAACCCCCAAAACCAAAACAGAATAAATCTTTTATATTTCTTATCTGCCATCTTCAGGACCCTCACACGAGCAAGCCCAGAAGCGTGTGTGTCCAACATCTTAACCTTTGAACGTGGGAGGAACACACGGAGCTCACTAAAACTGCATGCATGCTTCTGCGGTCTGCAGTGCTAATAAACATCTGGAATCCAGTGGCCATCACTCTGAGCACCTCTTGGAATTGCAGAGGCCAAAGTTAACTTGTATTAATCTCATGATGTTTCAATAAATTTAGTATTAAATATTAATACAAATTTTTCTCTTTTTTTGGCAAATATTGACCTTGAGCAGGAATATGTCTATCATCTTTCTTTCTGGAACTAGGAAAGAAAGAGATACTCAGATTGTGTGTACATTAAGCAGCCTGTTCTTAATGTGCTTCCTGGTATGAATATTTGTAGGTGGTCAGAATAAAATCCCGGTGCTTCCTTTGCTAGGGGACAGCATGTTCGTTTTGCAGAAAACTCCTGTGTTCTCCTTAGTAGAGTTATGAAGTTTCCCCCATTCTTTTATCTTCCACTGTGCTCTGTGCTCCTTACAAGGGGAACCCACTGTGTCTGGCTATCGGGGAGGAGGCTTGTGAGATACACTTTCTAACGTGAATTAAATTCAAATTTTAAAATAAAATAGGTTTTCAGAACACAGAAATTGTGAAGGATCACCTTTGGATTTACAAGGATAGAAGTTTATTTCTGAATCCTTAGCTACAATGGAGTTGGCTTTGGCCTTCTTGAAATACTGGAATGGCTGCAGGATTACAGAATAATAGCCAAAAGAAATTTTTGAAAGATCACAATAATACTTGATTTGAGTGTTTTAAAAAATTATAAAAGAGATTCAAATATATAACCGTAACCTCCTCTCTAATATTTCTTGAACATACTCTGTCTCTCTACATTGAGCGAATTCACCTCACCCTCAGCCTTCAGTGGCTTTTTGTCTCCCAGATACTCAACCCACCAATCCCATGTTCTCTCTGTTCATTGCCATCCATCACCCCTCTCAGAAGATTTCAGGTGGGAAAAGGCACTCACAATGAATGGCTCCTTTTTGGTGGTCAAAGAAGGCTGGTATCACACTTATGGAAATACTAAGAGTCCCCTAAGAGAGCTTTTATATTCCAAACAACTGCTTCCTTACTTCCATTGTGGGGCAATATTCCAGTGATCCCTTGATAGTGCAAGTCAATCAAGTCAAGTCTGTAATTCCTCTTTGGGCCTGTTTTCTCAGGTATGAGAAACCCACAGTGGCCTGGAGGAAATCTTAACTTCCAGTTCAATGGAATAATCTTTGTGCCTCATGGCAAAAGCATTTCTGTTCCTGGAGCAAAGATCTCTAGGCTATCAGAGCATAAACTCAGAGAAACAAGAAGAAAAATTTTGTGGATGGCTCAGTAGGGGTAAAAAGGAGTAATACCACTCCAATTTCTACCCTTAGACTCCTAGACCCATCCTGGCTATAAGAGAAACAGGATTATATATTCAGTGTTGACTTCAAAGCTTATGTAGTTTTCTGGAGAATTTTGTTCAAAACTTAGAAGGTATTACCACTTAGCACTGTAAAACACTTTATCAGTAATCTGTTAAAATGCTACTTTAGTATGGTGGATTACATGGTGATGCCAGTGAGTTCCATGAGCATAGAGTTACTGCTATATCTCATTTATTAAAAAATGGTTTTCTTGATCAGAGCAACGCTGTGCAGAAAGCTCTGATGATAGATAAAACATTCTATAAATCCGTAGAAGATAGTTTTGACAGAAACAACTAGATACAGGAAAGGTAAATGCATATCCAGTGTCTCTTCCAATGAGGATAAAACGCTGCCCCTTCCATGATGGAAATGGTCCTGTGTAAATTGCCATGAGGTAATTAGCTGATCATCCCCAGGGAATGGTGACATTTGAGGGCTTAGTGTTAGTCTCTATCATTGGCAGACTGAACCTCAGCAGAGCTTTAGCCTGACTGACCTTGGTTAGCAGAAGTCCATGTTGCCAAGCTCATTCACAACCTCCATCTCTGTCACCATGGCCACTTCATTCATAGACCCATTAGGTAATAACAAGGATGGCTGGGGTAAGGGGCTGATTGGTATCCACAGACTAGATTATTCTATCCATGTGACTATTAATGTCCTCCTCTGCTGAGGATGTCAATGTGCTCTTCATCGGGCATTCACATGGAACACAAAGATCTTCACATTTTTTTGCTCATATGAAGAGGCCTTTCCACACATCTCCATATTTGCCATCAATTTTCTAATCATGTTTATTCCAAATATCTAACCGTCCAGTAAAAACATTGGTTATAACTCATGAATTAGTTTATTGCCTTATTTCTCCTTCCAGAACAAACTCTTCTCCTTTTTTTTGTTCTATTTACACCCTTATCAGATTAGATAATGTCTATCCAAATTGGTAAAGATAATCTTCATTAGTTAGTCAACTAATTCAAATGCTAATCTCCTCTGGAAACACCCTCACAAGCACACCCAGGAGTAATTTTTTAATAGCTGCTAGACAGAGCATTCAAACAAGCTGATATCCAAAATTAATCATCGCATCCTTGATGATCTTATACATGAAAGTTGAACTTGTATTTCTCCCTGGGATATGCTGCCATGGGTAGAGTTGTAGGGTACACCTGTGTGAGTGCTAAGATGTCTAGCTCGTGGAAATAAACCCTGAAATCGTTGGATGACACCTGGAGTTCTACTCATTAATGAGTAGACTTGTAAGTCACATTATTCATGTGATGTGATGAAAATATTATGAATATTTTAAGATACAAAGAGTTATTACAGCAAAAAGACACATTGCCATCAATCCACTTCAAAATACTTGCTCTTGCTTCCGAGGCTTATCCAATCATTCTTGTTACTTTCTGAAGCAGTTTTGCCCATATTCTTTCATGAGTGTCTTTTCATGGCTGTCTCTACATTCTGAATCCATTCAAATTTTTTGTGGTAATTTCTGTCACATAAAAGCATTGCACTGTGTCCACACCAACTTTATTCGGTGGATCTGGCACTGTGCAATTTCTGGCTCATCCCCCAAGTCAGAATGACTATAAAGGACATCTTTTGAATAGATTTAGGGCATCAAGGCAGCTGTGACAGTGCAATGAAAGACACCCAGGAAGGAAAACTTCCAGAACTGATTGAGAAAGTGGCAAGAACACTCAGGGATCCTGTATCTGAAGTGCGGGGAAGTATGCTGAATATTTAACACACATAGTGATGTGTGTTAAGTACAATATTCAGTGCATATCTTATCACACTGCAGAGGTCCCTGGCATTCTCTCTCATTCTGTTTGTTAAACACTTCTTGGAGGTGGGCTGTGAGGCATTAAGAGGGCACCGAGTCCTGTTTTCCACCTGGACCTGGGTGTAAAGCAGAGACAAGTGGCTGCCTGAAGCAGTGCGTTGGCAGCAATAAGGAAAAACAAGACAATTCTTAGGCGTTGGAGCAAGTCAGAAGTACAGGTTCCAGTCATCCTCTTCACTTGTGAATCTTAATTCTATCGTTGATACTGGAAAACTGAGATGTGTTGCATCATGATTAGAAAAGGCGACCTTTATTTCAAAGGGCACAACATGGCATCCATAAAACTCTGTGGTTTGCTTTTTTTTTTTTTTTTTTGTCTTTTTCGGTACCAGGGATCGAACTCAGGACTGCCTGCTTGCAAGGCAGGCAATTATGCCGCTGAGCTAAATCCCCAGCCCCAACTCTATGGGTTTTTGAACAGAGAACAAGACCTAAACATAGTGAACTATGAGATTTTCTATTCCTCTACCTAACCCATCTGCTCTTTAGGACACTCTGGTGTTGATATTAATATCCATGTTGTTACTGGCAATCTCTTTCCCCAATCTTTGCCTTCCTGATTCACTAGTTCCTAAATCACTGAATTCCCCAGTTGAGTGGTCCCTGGGGTATGCAGTGCTGATCGTAAGCTTCCCATGAAACCAGGCCGAGAGCAACTCCCCAGTGAATGTTAGTGAATTCACAGCATCATCAGACTACATTCAGAGGAAATAATGAACACTGAACTACCAGAAAAATGAGTTTTCTAATTTTTGGTAAGTATCCTAAAAATATCAGAAGGGGAAAATCACTTTCTGTCTCCTTCACTGCCAAAGGCTTTTCTCCCACGAGCAGTTCATTAGCAGCGACCTGCCTAACTCTGAGCCCAAAGAGCAGCAAGAGTAAACCTAAAACACACACTGAGTGTGGGGACCCAACGCCAGCCAGACTTAGGGAGTCGGAGTCGAAGAGCGCTCACTGTCACATGGCCCTCGGCTTCCAAGGCATCCCCCTCTCTTCTTCTTTCTTGGGGTGGGATTTCTCAGACAGATTTTCACCCACACAGAGATGCTGACATTTTCCCCTGACCTTTCTACTTCAGTTATTTCCAAATTTGTTTCCCCTGCTGTGAGATCCTTTGCTTACCATCCCGCTCACATCTGTGCGGGCCACACTTGGCATGGGCTGGTGGGGAGTTCCATGCCCGTTTCCTACACGCCTCTGCTGTGCTTCCACATTGGCTCAGCCCAGCTAGCCTGGGAACACTACATCCCACCCCGTGCTGACCTGTGATCAGCCCCTGACGGAGCTTGCCTCTCTCTACCTTTCAGATTTCGTACCCAGAAATATTTTCTTGTTTGCAGGGAATTCTGACTACCACGAATGAAAACTTTGTCTCGGGGCTCGCACTGCCAAGTAAAACCAAGACCGTGCTGTGTTGTAATATGCTGTTGTTGATACACCCAGAAAGCTCATGAAGTTTGGGAAATTAAGAGTAGAGAAATCGCTCTGGCCTGTGAGATGAACATTCTAAGAGGAATGGAATTCAAACTGTTAAAAATAGACCAGAGCTTGGTTTTTGTGGGATCAGGGAATGTAGAGAGTCTATATTTGCATTTGCAAGCTTAAAAATTTGTTTCTGAATTCTTCATCAAGTTGGACTCTGTGTGCGTTTTCTTGGAAAAGTATCATAGCTGCAAAATTATAGTTTGGTGGTCAATAGAAATGTTTGAAAGTTTGCTTAAAACTTTAAAATGAATAGAAGGGGACTTGTTTTAAAAGATTTTTCAAGAGAGGATCTGAAAAAAATTTCCTTGAAAACCTCACCTTTCATCAAATGTTATTTTTTTTAATGGGTACCAGGAATTGAACTCACAACCACACCCTTACAAGGCAGGCACTTATGCCTCTGAGCTAACTCCCCAACCCATCAAAGGCTATTTT